ACACTAAAAAGCTCATCAGAGGGGATTAGAAACAACTCTATAGCAACAGACTTGAAAATTTACATGACATATACAAATTCCTAGAAGAAATATATAAATTTCGAGAAAAACTAATACAAGAAGAAATTTTAAAAATCTAAAGTCCTCAATCTATTAAAGAAATTGAATCTACAATTAAAATTCTTTTAATAAAAAAAACTTTAGGCTCAGATAGCTTTCCTGTCTGTGAACTCATCTAAACGGTTAAAAAATAAATGTTGTGAATCTTACATAACACCTCTTGGTGATAATGGTGATAATGGAGAAAGAGGGAATATCAAAACAAGATGAAGACATTACAAGAAGGAAAATTACAGATCAGCTTCTCCTATGAACATATTTGAAACAGTCCTCAATAAAACATAGGGAGTTCTCACTTGGCATTGTAGTCAGGGGCTATAAAATCGACGATGCAAGCTGAAACCATGCAAACTGAGCTTAATAATCAATGGGGAAAATTGTAATTCTTTTCTCATGACCTTCACAAATTTTGGTCAAAATATTAACAACTCTTTTACTGTCCATCATAAATACTTAGGGAAAATTTAAAACTAGTGAAAGTAATATTTAATTAGTATGCTGTGGTTTATAACATGTAATACATTGAGATAAGGTGTTTTATTTCTTTGTTAATAAAAAAAAAAACTTATCAAGAGTTGTCCAAGGAGTGTTTGCTTTCTTTTTGTCCTACAACTGTGAAATGAAGAGAGCATCTTTTCCATTGCTTGGTAAACTGTCACATTCCTAACCTTAAGTTAGATTCACTTCTAACATTTTATTCTTTGCACTTACAATGTTGTGAAATATCTCTGAGAGTTCCTTTAATGTGAAGTGGTTTTTTTTTGTTTGTTTTGTTTTTTGTTTGTTTGTTTGTTTTGCCAGTATCACTTTCTGTGGTACATCTTCATGCTGTTCATAACAACCCCTTTCTTCATTTACATCAAAGAGCTTGTCGTCACTAAGTTCCCTGGTTGCATGCCTAGAATCCTGAATGGAAGTAGGGTCAGCATTTCTATGGTTGGCTATTTTTTCTTTGAATATGTTTACATTTCATTAGAATTTCACTGTTTCACTGTCATGTCTTAGGAGTAACACTCAATAAGCTTACCTGTAAACCTTGGATTAGTAAGACAAGTTTCAACTTGGCTCCTGTTATGCGACAACCAACATCCTTTTAACATAATCATGGTTCCTCTACAGAATTTTATCATTACAAAGTAATTAAAATTTCTATCATCCAATCTTATGTTTATATATTATTGTTTGTAGTATGTTTATCCAAATCTTATGTTTATTAACTATTGTGATATATGCTTACATATTGACAAAACTGTGTTCAGTAGCTAAGAATTATACTTGGAAAATAATGGGTAGTCTTTTAAAATATTTTTATTAAGTATGCCAAGATTATATATGGCGAATAAAATGATTTTTAAATAAAATGATTTTTAAAAAATGATTTTTTCCAGTAAAAATGGAAAACATGCACCAGATATAAAAAACAGAATCTGCGTGTGAATGTATGCATGTGTGTATACAATTTCTAAAAATCCAGTGTATACAACCTCCCCTCATAGATGAAATAGAGCACAAATTTTAGCCTATTGTCCTTAAAAAAAAAAAAAGAAGACCCTGACTGGGCACAGTGGCTCACGCCTGTAATCCCACACTTTGGAGAGGCCAGCCGTGAGTGGCATCACAGGGTCAGGAGTTTTGAGACCAGCCTGGCCAACATAGTGGAAAACCCCGTCTCTACTAAAAAATACAAAAGTAAGCTGGGTTCGGTGGTGCACCACCTGTAGTTCCAGCTACTTAGGAAGCTTAGGCAAGAGAAACGAGACACCACTTGAACCCCGATGGCAGAGGTTACAAGTGAGCCAAAGATCGCGCCACTGCACTCCAGCTTGGGTGACAGAGGCGAGACTTCATCCTCAATAATATAAATAAATAATAAATAAATAATAAATAAACAAATAAAAGACTCCTGATGAATGAAGAAGGCACTCATTCAAATCTATGCCGAGACCAAAAAAAAAAGGCAGGGTGGGGAAGGGCTGGGTGCAGTGGCTCATCCCTGTAACGCAAGCATTTTGGGAGGCCGGAGGAGATGGATTAGCTGAGCTGAAGAGTTCAAGAGCAGCCTGGGCAACACAGTGAAACTTTGTCTCTACTAAAACTTACAAAAAATTAGCTGAGTGTGGATTGCGAGCCTATAATCCAGTTACTCGGGAGACTGAGACAGGAGAATCACTTGAACCCAGGAGGCAGAGATGTGCAGTGAGCAGGAGATCACCGCCATTGCACTCCAGACTGGACCGAGGGGAGGACGTCATCTCAAAAAAAAAGGAAAAAAAAAAAAAAAGGAACATGGGGATTAAAGGAAGAAAAAGGCAAGGCCTGGATGTGGATTCTGGGGA